TCAATCATATTTTTAATTACAACTTATGTTTGAATCATTAAACAAGTCTCTGTGTAGGAGTAAGTAGGGAAGGTGAAAAAACATTTCTTTCCCCACAGCCACATGGGCAGGATTCGGACAAGGCCTCTGAGGCCAAGGCCCCTGACACAGCCTCACCCCGTGCACTGAGATTCTGATCAAAAAGATCACATTGGTTTGGCAACAGGTTCTTGCACAGTCTCCCAACCTATTTCCAGTGACTCCATAGCTTTATCCAGGCTGCTCATCACTGTGGCCAAGAGGAAATCACTGGACTGGGCATCCTCTGTTTCAAGTGACTTCATGGATTCCAGACTGAGCATCCCTGTGCCTCCAGACTGTTTCCTTCCGCACCTCCCTGCCAAGACGTGAATAAGCCTTTTGGCGCTTTTCCGGTACCAGTGCCTCCCAGAGATGAGGATCTCAACTTTGCTCTCGGAGTGGGGCTCTCCCACCTGGAGCAGGACTTTGAACTCACGCTCCAACTCTGGGAGGAGAACTTTGTTTGGGCCTAATATCTTTTCCAGCAGACACGCATCAACGTGAAGCACCAATGGTTCCAGAAAGTACTTAAATCTGCACCATTGCGGCAAATGTGCAAAAAAAGAGGCATCCCGTCCCGGAATTGAAACCCCTCCGGTCGGCTTCGGCGCTGTACAATCTGTAAGGCATCGCCCTGTTGCTCCGGGCCGCCCTGCCGTACTGGATAGCCCTGCTGCCCCGGGTCGCCGTCAGGCCGGGCGCCATTGTCTGCACCCGGGATAGGAGCTGGAAGAGAAATCCTCCATAGACTAGTTGCGCAGACGGGAATTATATAACACAGTTTTGACTTCACAGTATTCCAGATGAATTTGTGGATTTCCTAAGAAAACATAAATTTCCTAATTTGCCTAAGGAGGCAGAGAAAATTGAAGATGTGTGATACAGCAGTATGAGAATACATTAGAAAGAATTTAACACAAACATCACATCCAGTGAACTTTGATGAAATTCATATATATTAAAGTCACAAGATATATTCAAGTGTATGTAGATTTTTCAAAATTTAAAGAATAAATTATGCCAGGGTATAAAAATATAGTACTTGGCTGAGAAGTTGAAATACATTCATGAGCTTATCATTGTCTTATCACCAAATTGGATGACAATAGCACATTAACATAATAATGACCAATTATTATCAAGTTGGCTATAATTTATAACAACCCCATGTGGGATAGAGTAGAATTATGCTCCATATGGTTATTACTGGCTAATTTTTCTGAAGTAGATAACCAGGTCTTTCTTCCAAAGCTCCACTCAATGGATTACATCTTCCAATCTTTTGGTTAGCAGGAGAGTGTGTTAACCATTTTAACAAGCAGGGACTCCACGCAGGGATTTATTACTACTGGAGAATTTCACTTACAAACTTGTATGCAAAATATTAAAAAAAAATAGTACATAAACTCCAAGTTATGATACTGTTGCACCACACTTTAATTAAATTTTATTCTAAGACTGCAAATATAGCCCCTTTTGATGACGTATTAACAATGTATTACATTTCAGATTAAAAGAGCAACTCATCATTAATCATCATTGCAGGGGGTAGATGTTCTTTGCAAAGCTTTTCCATCTTTTTCCTACTTACTTGAGGAATATTACTACAGATTCAATTCATTTCAGTTCTTCATGAAGTACAAAATTTCCCCAATATTAGAAATAAAGTGTTCATAATTGATGGTAAGTATAACACAGGGGAGTAGCTTTGGGGGTTGGGGAATTTTGAAAGTGTTTTGGCTCTCTGGATCTCAGCCATTTTCTCCAACAAACATCTAATGATAAGAAATCTCCATGGAATATATTCATCCTCCATGGTCCCAGTTCAATCCCCAGTCCGGAATAAAATAGAGAAAAGATAAAATGGGAAAATTGTGAAATAGAGTGCCAAGAAGAGGACAAGGTTTAAGTCACAACCTATAACACCTATAATATCTGAGCTCTAAAATATGTATACTTGATGCAGCCCTCTTGTAGGAATACTTGACCTGAAAGAAGCCAAAATTTCTCTTAACTTTTACAAAATTTGCAGATAATTGAATCAGGTATGTTTTTATATTTTTTGTCAATCATTACCTTAACTTGTTTACTTGAGCTTTTCTCTGAAAAATGTTAAGCTTTTAACTAGAGAAAGAGAAACTGGGGCAATAACTTATAGTATCTGGACTCATGATTTTGTTCAAGAGCTTTTGTGTTAACAAAAAATATTGACATCTATATTAGTTTGGTACATAAAATTTGATTTTGGATGTGATAGGAAATAGTTTAAAAGTCAATTTCTGTAGTATTTGGATTGATTGATTTATTGGTGCTAACGCTTTCTTTCTGATATACCTAGGAGAGGAAACTTTACCAAAGGATAATAAGGCCACTTTATGATTATCTCAGTTGATCCAAGCCCAGTCTAGCACTTAGACAAAAATGTCATTTGGCCAGTGTATGTACAGAGTTGCACTCTATGAGGAGTTCTGAGTTTTTCTTTCTCCCCTTTCCATACTCCATTGATTTCTCATTTACTTTCTTTAAAAGAGAGTCCTCATTTCATAGAAGGAGCTCTGGTGGCATAGTGGATAAGGCATTTGGCTACTAACCAGAAGATCAGTAGTTCAAACCCACCAGTTGCACCTGGGGAGGAAGATAGGACATCTACTTCCGTAAAGATTTACAACCTTGGAAACCCAATGGGGGGACACTATGAGTCAAAATCGACTTGATGGCAGTGAGTTTTATTTAGAGTTCATTTCATAGGCGATTGACCAAATAATAAGATATGGTAAGACCAGCAGCTTGCTCTTTTTGGATGAAAATTGTTGGTCCCAGGAAAGAATGCCCCTGGAAGGAGACCCTCTTTCACCACAAATGATAATTATTCATTTAAATATCCTTTGCAGTGGTTCAGTTTTAGTTATTTTGTCTCAGCATACATTACTCAGTTATTTGCTTCTTTTGATACTCAAGATGTAGTAAGAATCTTTACAAAGTGTAATGTAGTAATAATCCTTTTAGCAGCTATTATTGTTGTTGTTGTTATGTGCCATCGAGTCGGTCCCAACTCATAGAGACTCTTCCTTGGGTTGCCAAGGCAGTATCACCGTGGAAGTAGATTGCCCAACCTTCCTTCCAGGAGTGGCTATTATTAGGAAATTAAGTTTTCCATCCTAATAAATTACAAACTAAAATGGATTACTTGAAGTAAAACATAAGGAGCTCTGGTGGTGTAGTGAATAAGGGATTTGACTGCTGAGCAGAGGTTGGTGGTTTAAACCCACCAGCCACTCAGCAGAAGGAAGATGGGAGCAATCTACTTATGTAAAGACTGCTGCCTCAGAAACCCAAAGGGGGCCGCTACGAGTCTGAATCTACTCCACGGCAATTTAAAAAAAAAAAAAAATTTTCAGACGTAAAATATATTAGCCTTCTTGGAAAACATAACATGTATTCATTTCTACCTTTTTAAGTAGAGATGACTGTTATTATGAGGGTCATTTATGGTTAAATTAATGATATTTAAAAGGGTTTTACATCACTCTAATTATCTCATTTTCAAATCAGGTTATTACTTTTGTGTTTCTCTTATTTTGTATTTATTAGAGACTCTACTATTGAGTGTAATAGACAGATTCCAGAAAGTTTGGGGTGGGGTTCTGGCTTTTTACTTGCAAGTTGTATAATTTTGAATGCATTGGTTAACCTTTCTGAGTCTTAATTTCCTTATATGAATAATGGGGAACATAATCTCTTCCTCCAATCAGATGGTTGTACAGTTTAATGCTCACATACTGTACATGAAACCATTTTCAAATGAAACAGTTTTGTCCACTGACACCAGCTTTTTTCCACAATCTTTTATAGAGACAGGCATATCACCTCTTTATTATACCCAACAAACAAAAAAAACCCAGATGTTCTTTCAGCTAAAAGATTTTTGCACTTCTAAACATGTTTTTTTAAAAATGAATATTTAAATCACAGTCTATCCCATTGGAATATTTTTGGTGCTGTCTCAAAGAAGCTTCAGAGAAAACATAGGCAGAGTGGAATATTTTATAATCTATTTACAGGTTATTTATTATTTCAATTTTTGCCTAAGGAGAAAGAATTACATTGGTGGATATTTTTTCAAAGAATATAACTTTGCTTATTAGGTCAGGAAAATTAGTTAAAGGCTACACTTTTCTGCATTGAGGAAGGTTTCTATATTAATCAATAAACTGTTACTATTGACTTTAAAATATTCTACTTTTTAACAACCTCAACTAAAACAGATTTTTGCTTTTTGTTACTATTGTAATTTCATCTGTTCCTATTCCTCACTGACATACTGGCCATATTAGGTTACTTATTCTCATATAGTCCAAGGTAACTGCAACGGACTTTCTTTAAACCAAATCAGCTTTCATAACTTCAGAGATTTTAATGGTGGTAATTATGGTAATAGAATATGGCAAGAGAGAGAAAGCCATAGTTTTTTTTATAGAAAGGGAAAAAGCTCTTTTACTTCTATGTGTGGTCTCTTGGGAATTTTATAAGAATTAAAATTGCTTGCGGATACTCCTGAATGGACAGTGACAAGAAGTAGGACAAGGAGGAAGCACAAATCTGAATGCCTTAGTACCTCACCTTGACTGAGACCTTTGGAATGTCTAGCAGTTATTTGTTTAGGGTTGCTTCCTTCAAAGAGTTTACATTGAATTCCCAATTTTGTAAATGGAGCTTTTAATTTATTTATGACATTTACAATTCAGAGCTATTCTTTATTAGTAAGGATAATTCAGAGAAAAACATATTTGTTAGAAGTACAGATAAAACTTCTGAATAGAAGTGAACCTAAAGTATTTCAAATTAATATTGCAGGGTCCTTCAGAATTGTGGTTTAATTTTCTTTCCCTTAATATTAATCACTGTGTCTCTTTTAGGTTCTTCTCTTGCAGCTTGAGACCATGCATCAGGAAAATTATTCCAGAGTAGCTGAGTTTGTGCTGCTGGGACTCTCCAGTTCCCAGGAGCTCCAATATTTCTTCTTCTTCTTTTTTAACTTGTTGTACATTGCCATTGTACTGGGAAATGTCCTCATTGTCCTCACAATAATTTCTGAACCTACCCTGCACACACCCATGTACATCATGCTCAGTAACCTTTCTGTTCTTGATGTGTTTCTGGCCACTTATGCAACTCCCAAAATGATCCATGATTTCCTCCATGAACCCAAGATGATCTCCTTTGAGGGATGCATGGCCCAGATATTCTTGCTCCATGTTTTTGCCGGTGGTGAAATGATGCTTCTTGTAGCCATGGCATATGACAGGTATGTAGCCATATGCAAACCTCTCCATTATACAACCATAATGAACTTGTGCAGATGTACAGGCTTAGTTGTGGGCTCTTGGGTCATTGGGGTCTTGCACTCCCTGAGTCAGTTGGCTTTCACTGTAAACTTACCATTTTGTGGCCCTAATAGAGTGGACAGCTATTACTGTGATCTTACTTTGGTCATCAAACTTGCCTGCACAGATACTTACATCCCTGAAGTGTTGATGCTTTTGGACAGTGGTCTCATGGGAGTGAGTTCATTTTTGCTCTTACTTATCTCCTACACGGTCATCCTGGTCACAGTGCGAAGTCAGTCCTCAGTGGGCATGGCCAAGGCCCGAAGTACCCTCACAGCCCACATCACTGTGGTGACCCTCTTCTTTGGGCCATGCATTTTCATCTATGCTTGGCCATTCAGTAACTTCCCAGTGGATAAGGTTCTTTCTGTGTTTTCCACAGTTTTTACACCTATATTGAATCCCATTATTTACACATTGAGAAACAAAGAGGTAAAATCAGCAATGCATAAACTGAAGACCAGATATGTAAGTTCCAGGTTCCCTTTCTAAAAGTCTACCTCATGGTTGGATTTGCTGAACTGAGTACACAGAAGATTTAAGTAAATGTAGATTTTTTTTTTGTAGCTATTATTATTTTAGTTTATTTTTTACAATGATAAATGTAATATTTTTTGTTAAATATTTGTAGTAAATCATTATTCATTCTCTATTTATATATATGTGTGTGTGTGTGTGTGTGTGTGTGTTGTTGCTGTTGTTGTTATTTGCCGTCGAGTCAGCCCCGACTCATAGCGACCCCTCCTTGGGTTTCCGAGGCAGTATCACTACGGAAGTAGGATTGCCCAACCTTCCTTCCGAGGAGTGGCTGGTGGGTTTGAACCGTCAGCCTTCTGGTTAGCAGTCAAGTGTCTTAGGCACTATGCTACCAGAGCTCCTATATGTATATATACACATACTAAAAATTAACTGCTATTCTGTTGCTTTGACTCATAGCAACCCCTCCTAGGGTTTCCAAGGTGGTATCCCTATGAAAGTAGATTGCCCATCCTTCCTTCTGAAATGGCTCATAGAAGAGCAAAAATCAACACTTTAGGCACTGGGTAAAGGAGACACAAATAAAATAAGAGCAAACAACACCAACAAATTTGGTCCGCTGGAGTATATGAACATGTTGTTGTTGTTGTTATGTGCCTTCAAGTTGGACCTGACTCATAGCGACCCCTCCTTGGGCTTCCGAGGCAATATCACTACAGAAGTAGATTGCCCCATCTTCCTTCTGAGAAGTGGCTGATGAGTTTGAACTTCCAGCCTTTTGGTTAGCAGTCAAGTGCCTTAGGCACTATGCTACCAGAGCTCCCATATGAACATATGTGTGTGTGTATATGTGTGTGTGTGTGTGTGTGTGTAATATTTGCTATAAACCAAAACCAAACCCAACCCACTGCCATTGACTTGATTTAGACTCATAGCAATCCCCACTGCATTTCCAAGGCTGTAAATCTTTGGGGAAGTAAATTGCCTCATCTTCCTTTTGTGAGCAGCTGATAAGTTTGAACTGCCAACCTTGGAGTTAACAACTAGGGAGCATATGCACTATGCCACAAGAACTCCTTTATATTTGCTATAGTATCTTTAAAGTATTTAACAATTTTTATTTATTAATTAGAAACCACATTTTCCTATGTAACAGTGATAACAAGATGCTTCACAAAACATTGTAAAGTTTAAATTTTATAAATTTAAGTATATGAAAAATTAAGTCTATCATTCTAATAGCTAAACTAAAAACACTATGATGCCCTCTGTTCTAAAATACTGCTAGTAATTTAAAATCTAGTCCCAGTGGCATAGTACGTAAAGCATTTGACTGCTAACCAGAAGGCTGGCAGTTCAAATCCACCAGCCACTCCTCAGAAAGAAGATCTGGCAATCTACTTCTGTAGAGATACCGTCTGAGAAACCCAAGTAGGGGTTGCTATGAGTCAGATCTGACTCGACAGCAGTGAATGTTGTTGTTGTTTTGTCCTTTTTTTCACACATCTTACATCAAAACATTTATACTCTCAGTAGAAAGAGCCATAGACTTACTCCACATGCAAAAAATAATTTTGTAAGAATTCAAGGTAACACCTTTCAAATCCACTTTTATTTTATTTTTTCCTCCTCACATATAGAACCTCATGGGTCTCCACATACACCATTATTTTTTCTGCAGCTTTAAAGAATCATTTGATTTTTTTTCATTTATTCTTGTGTCATTTTATCCCTAACACCATGTTGACATCAAAAGATGATAGCTAACCAGTTCTAAATCCATAAAATATAGAGAACAGCACATTAAGCTTTAGACACTTGGCCATTAAATTACAACAGCATCCACCTTATACATGTCTGAATCAAGTATTCATCAGACCTTAGCATGGTGTATGTACACTGGTTGAAAGAGAAGCTGAGGCAATAGGCAGTTACTTAGGAGAATACTGAAATGAAAACATATTATGATATTACCCCAGGATCACGTATCACCTCAACTTTCTCCAAGGCGTTCTCATTCTGGAAAGGCAAGCACAAAATGAAGCTGAATTCCACTATCTTAGCTGATACAAAATGAAGATAACATTTACTCTGTGGAAGTATCCTCCTCATACTATTCATTCATTGTGATTGTGAGCATAACTCATCACAGCAACTTTTACCATTAACCTTTTTGTTTAAGTGATCCATCAATGCTACACTTTACTTGCTCCTTTCTCTGAATCAGACTTAAATTAAAAGATTAGGGAAAGAGAAATGACTGTAGATATCCTGCATGGATTTTTCCCCCAATAGAATATGGAAAATAGTTTAAGCCTCTATTTCCAAGGTGAGGATTAGTTATTCCAGCTGTCTTGTATTCTTTTTTCAAAACCCACATGAGTCTTTGTTTTTCTTAAGGCTTCGATACAATTATTCTGTTCATTTTCACAAGATTACAAGAGTTCCTTTTGGAACAGTCCAAATCAAGATCATACCACTGCATGCTTCAAGTAGGGTGGCCAGAAACTGACATTCAATCTAGATCGGGCCCTTCTGTTCAAAAGGTATTGCATCAGTACAGATTGTGAAATTCTTCTATCCATCTAGTATATCTCTAAAAAATTATTAAGGTCTTCAGTGTACCAATGATAGGACTTTGAATCAGAGATATCAATGCACTCACTGGTTTTAGAAAACCCATAAATTCTGGACTAGGAATCTGGTCACCATATTTTGGAAACACATGGTTCAGAATCTGTAGCACAACCCACATTGTGAATGAAAGAAGTGCAACTAGGAGCACACAGAAACTAAAATTAGAGCAATATCAAACCTCTTTCCCTCCCTTACACTGTTAGTCCAGGTAGTGCTATCTCCCACTGGATCTGTTCACCATGTCCTCTACTTGCCTTCCACTACTCACACCACTAACCTTCATTCATAGCCCTCTCTGCTCAGGTCAGACACTTGTATAGGATATAAAATCCCATTTCTCAAGCAGAACATTTACTAAGTCCTCACCCAGAATGAGATCAGGTGATTCTGACAAAATGGCATTTCATGGACCCCAGCCCATATCACTTGGTTCCACAATCAATAACAATGGAAGCAGCAGTCAAGAAATCAGATGATGTATTGCATTGGGCAAATCTGGTGCAAGGGATTTCTTTAAAGTGCTGAAGAGCAAAGATGTCTCTTTGAAGACTAAGGTGCACCTCACCAAAATCATGTATTTTCAATCACTTCATATGCATGTGAAAGCTGGACAATGAATAAGGGAGACCAAAGAAAAGTTGAAGCTTTTGAGTTGTGGTGTTGACGAGGAATACTGAAAGAACCATGGAATGCCAGAAGAACTAACACGTCCGTCCTGGAAGAAATGCAGCCGGAATGCTCCTTGGAAGTGAGAAAGGCCAGACTTCGTCTGACAGACTTTGGTCATGTTGTCAGAAGGGACCATTCCTTGGAGAAGTATATCATGCTTGGTAAAGTGGAGGCTCAATGAGAAAGGGGAAAGCCCTTAAAGAGATGCATTGACAAGTGGCTGCAATGATGAGCTCGGGATTAGCAAGGACTGTGAGGCTGGCACAGGACTGGGTAGTGTTTCCCTCTGTTGTACATAGGGTCGCTATGAGTCAGAGCCATCTCCAAGGCACCTAACAACAACAACAACAGCCCATAACAGTTCTCCCCTGGAACCTCTTCTGGTCAGGTTGTGGATGAAGAGCTTCCACTGCGTAAGGCTCTGGTCACAAGATTTCTCTTTCTTCACTAGTCAATTATACACAGGCAGGGAAGTGACCAGAGGTTATGGTAATTCACAGGCGGCAGCCATTAACATGGTTGCTTGTCATGCTATAATATGTATTTGAAATGTTGTAAGTGCTCTTCCAAATATTGAAAAACATTCTTAACAATCACGAGCTTGATAAATACATGATTTTTCATTATATGTGTGTTTCATCATATGATCCTTTTCTTTCAAAATGTTCCTAGAGTGAATTTCAGAAGACAGAATATATGAGTATTCTAGTTTCTTGATCTATGTTTTAAAATTGCTTTTCAGAGTGTTTTCTCAGTGCATACTAAGCACAGATTTTTGCATTATTGAATATAAAATTTTAATCTACGAATTTAGCAGGTCAAGTTTAGTGACTGCTGCTTTATTTTCCATGTCCTTGGTTTCTGATGGAGTTTTATCTTTTGTGAATTATCCTCACATTCTATGCCCCATTAGAAGTTCAGTATTTCTTCCATTACTCTGTTCTACTTTTGCTTTGTTAAGATGTGTAAACCTTTTCTGTAATTTGTTTAATTCCTAAAAAAAAAAAAATTACAAAGAATAAAGTTCACTATTAGTTTTGTGCATTTCAAAGGATTTTAACAAATCCATATAGTCATATGTCCATCACCAGAGTTCCATATAGAACAGTTCCATCACCTCTAAAGTTTACTCATGCTATTCCCTTGTATGGACAACCACTACTTCCTCCCCACAACTCCTGGTAACCACTGATCTGTTTTCCTTATTTTAGTTTTGCCAACTAAAACTACTAAAAGAGTATCATAAATGGTAACTTTTCATCAGCAAAATGCACTTAAAATTAATCCATTTTGTTATGTGAATCAATTGTTGCTGTTAGTTCCCTCATATTTTTATCACTGACTGGTTTTCCATTGTATGTTGTTATGTTGTTATGTGCCGTCGAGTTGGACTCGACTCATAGTGACCCCTCCTTGGGTTTCCAAGGCAGTATCACTATGGAAGTAGATTGCCCCATCTTCCTCCTGAGGAGTGGCTGGTGGGTTTGAACCACCAGCCTTCTGGTTAGCAGTCAAGTGCCTTAGGCACTACACTACCAGAGCTCCCTCCATTGTATGTTTTTATCATATTTTATTTATCCATTTTTCAGACAATAGATATTTGGGTGATTTCCAGTTTCAGATTGTAAATGACATTGCCATGGACATTCATGTATAGATTTTTGCATGAAGATAATTTCATTTCTTTTGAATATATACCCAGGAGTGAG